GCTGACTTTACAGGTGGATATGACCAGCCCTATTCTGCTCCTATGGCACCTGGGCCTCTATTCCTGCTGCTCTTGGCTTTCACTATCTTTTTCTTGGATGGGTGAAGATTCTCGGATTTTCCCTGTCTCTAGTGTTCTCACCAAATTTCTTCCCTTGTTGCTTGACTCTACCTCCATCCTCCGCAAAACAACCCGGGKCTGCACAATGGTCAAGAATAAAGGATTCTGACTCTGATAGGCCTGAGCGTAATGTAGCGATTAATCTGAGGTTTAATTATAGGGCCAAATCACTTGTTTTACTGCCTGCTGTTCAAGGACTYAACTTCTTTTTCAACCTCACTTCTCACTTCGTTGTCTGACAAAATACCTCCCTCCTTCACATAACTTCCAGATCCTCCCCCAGCTTTTAAAGTACAACTCTTTTGTCACTCAGCCTCTTCTTTGGAATCTTTCTCTCACGAACTTTGACTATTTTCTTGCGTTAAAAACATTTTTTTTCCCTGTTGGGAAAGAGCAACTTTCATAAGACAAGAATGTTGTTTTATTTTGTATATCTAATAAGTCACAATGTGACTTGMAATGGGATTGCTCAATAAAAGGTGAATGACATCAGTTAACATAAAGAAATGTGACCCTGAGTGTCTCCCCAAGAGGGCCCAGCTTCGCTCATCGGCGCTTTCTCTCGAGCCTGGCACGATCAGGTTCAGCACCAAGAGGACACTGAACCCTTATTAGGAGAATAAGGCAGCCGGCTCGCCGCGTTCCCGCGTCTGAGACTCCCGGACGCGCAGCCCCGCCCCTCGGCGCGCCGCCCCGGGCTCCAGGGCGCACGCGCAGGCGCTAGCCGGCGCGGCGGGCGCGCGGCCGCAGCCGTCCCCTCCCCCACTCCCACTTCGSTGGAGGGGAATCGGTCACCGCGGCTGCTCAGGCCGCCGCGGTCGGTCGTAGCCATGGACTCTTCGTGGGAGGATCTGACGCTGGCCTTCTCCCGCACGTCCATGTTCCCCTTTTTTGACATCGCCCACTATCTGGTGTCCGTGATGGCGCTGAAGCACCGGCCGGGTGAGTGTGGGCGCTGCGGACCCGCCCCCTCAGCTTCCAGTCGCTGGGATGACGGCCTCGGTCCAGGGGCAACCGGGAGCCGCTGTCCGGGAAGGATTTGATAGTCTAGTGGGAGGGCGCCCTGAAACTGCCTGGCTGACCCCCCCTTTAGTACAGAAGGGAAACTGAGGCCGGGAGGGCGGAGGCCAGGTATTAGACCGTGGAGGCTAGGCGCCGCTTCCGTGGCTTGCGGGGTTGGCTGGGCTCCGGGGCCGGTGCGGAAGCCGCTGCCGCGCGGTCGGTCTCCTGGTGGTACCAGCGCTTCCCTGGAAGGTGTTTCAAAGTCACCGGAGAGCTAAGCTCCCAGTCCCCGCACGTCTCCGACCTCGCCTCCGGGAGTAAACAGGTGGTCCTTGCCTGTTGGGAAAGTTGTGCAAACACGTGAGCCGCAGGCCTCCCCGGAGTGGGCACACCGAAGTTCCCCTTAACGCGGTGTCCTCCTTGACACCTGCTCAGCACGTTAGGATGAMTGCCAGAAGCCAGTGATTCCTGTTTTCATTGTCACTAGTGACTTTTGTACAAGTGAGAGTCGCTGGACATCTAGTTTCACACGACTCTGTGCAGTGGGGATGTGGTCTTGTGGTTTGAAGACCTTTGGAGCTGTTAACCAAGGAGCAGTATTTCTATTTTCTATCTTACATTCAGGATATTTGCTCCTATATTGCTTTACTTTTGTTGTTATTTCACCTTCCCTTTATGTTTTGTGCATCTCTTCTTTTTAGAGGCCAAGCATTTCTGTCCGTTTTCCATGTGTTCATACCATCTTTAATCCGCCTTGTTCTACAAATAGTTGATGAGTGAAGATTTGAGGCTGATGCTGTATCTCTCCTAGGTATTACTGGTTGTCTCAATTTTTGGAACTTAGAGTATTTTTTTTTAAAACTTATATTGGAGTTTGTAACTCAGTCTGAATCAGTTGTTTGGTAGAGATTTTGACCTGGATAAGGGGAGTATTACTATACTAATTAATGTAGGTTAGATAATCTCTATAAGATACTGCTTCCTTAGTCTAAAAGGAAGTACATTTTGTTACTGCCCCATACTCAGAATATGATATTTTCTTKCATTGGGTAAAAGATTCTCAAAGTATGGTTGAGGAATCCATAGGRTTCTCTGACACTAACTTGTTAAAATTATTTTCACAATACTATTCAGATATTATTCATTTTTTCACTCTGATTTTTTTACATGTGTACAGTGGAGTTTTCCAAAGACTACATGACTTATAAATTGTGATACTGTAAGAGATTGAAGAGTATGAGAATCCTGCCAGCTGTTTTCTGTTTGAAGCCAGACATTAAGGATTTGCTACAACAGAAAACAGTGTACTTTTCTCATTAATTGATTTTAGCTTTGGAAAAACAGTCATTTTTCATAAAGAATCTGTTAACATTTAGTGCATTTATTATTTTTAAAATGAATATAGAACTCCCCCTCCCTTTTTTTTTTGGTGGTGGTAATAGGGATTGAAACCAGGGCCTTGAAGGTGTTAGGCACTCTACCATTGACCTGTGTCTTTAGCCCATAAAGAACTATTTTGAAATTCTCTCAGTTACAATTTGATACTTGCAACCCCCATGAACAAAAGTTCTTTGGGGTTCTCAAGAAATGTTTGAAGGGCTGGGGTTGTGGCTCAGTGATAAGCTCAYCTGGCATGTGTGAGGCACTGGGTTCTATCCTCAGCACCATATAAAAATAAATAAAATAAAGGTATTGGGTCCATCTACCCCCCCACACACAAAGGTTTTGAAGTCAGTTATTTTTAAAGGTCTAATTTATATATAGTATATTTTTTTTTGAGAGAGAGAGAATTTTTAAATTTTATTTTTATTTTTTAGTTTTTGGCAGACACAACATCTTCGTTTGTATGTGGTGCTGAGGATTGAACCCGGGCCGCACGCATGCCAGGCGAGCGCGCTACCGCTTGAGCCACATCCCCAGCCCCAGTATATTCTTTTTTAATATAAAAATTTAACATTAGCATATATAAAATATATTAATTTWAATATAAAGTTCTAAGATTTTGAAAATAGTCTTATAACCACCATTACAATCAAGATGTAGAACATTTTGTTCACCTACCCCAGATTTCCTTCTGCTCCTTTGTAGACAGTCCTCCTCCAACTCCTGGCAACTGTTAATTAGCTTACTAATTTTTAGTGTATAAAGGGGTCAGAGTCCCCCAAAATCTGAGAATTACTTGGATAATTGAATGCTAATATAGTGTTATATAGAGAGTAACAAATATTTTTTTCTAGTACCAGTCCTTGTAAAGAGGTAAAAATGATAGAATTCACATGGGTGTACCTGTTTATACTTTCCCTGGAAATATGTTAGACTCCCTATTTCCTTTGACATTGTTGACTATTTTCAGTCCTCAGTACCTTGTCATTTTCATGATCAGAAAACAGTTTTCATTTGCTTTTGTCAGGGTTACTAATGAGTTTATACTTAGGTTTATTGAACACTTGTATTTCATGGCTGTAAGTTTCTTAATATCTTTTGACCATTTTTTTTTCTATTGGGTTGTAGGTTGTTGTCTAATTGTATTGATTTTCTTTATGTATCATGGGTGTTAATTCTATTTATGTATAGTAAAGCTATTTTCCTTATCTCAGCAGAGTGGCTAATTGAATTTGTTTTCCTCTAAGACCTTTATTAATCCTCTAGACTGTCTGTAATTTTGCTTATTTTCTTTATTTAGCCTTTCAGTTTTTTCTGAGTTACTGAAATCCTTCAAGTGAATTCTTTTTGGCTTAAGTTTGTCATAGTTTTTTTTTTGTTTGTTTGTTTGATTTTTACTTGTAGCCAAGAACCTTGTATTTTCTAGCCTCTATATTGAGGAGTATTGATATAAAGTGTTTAATAGTGGTGATTATAGTGAGTAGCTTTGTTCTCATGATTTTAATGAGAATATTTTTAAAGTTTCATCAAATGTGATGTTTTACTGTAGGGTTTTAAGAGGCATAGTTAACAGTTTTATTTTAATCTTAACTTTCTAGRTTGTCCCTATATCTTTATCACCATCCTGGTGGAGAAGGTGACAAATTTTATTAATGTTTCCCCCCCCCCAGAAATCCATTGAGATGATCATTTGTATTGGTTTTTCTATTTAAAAATGTAATGGGCATTGTAGCTTAGGCTTGTAATCCCAGCAATTCTGGTGGCTAAGGCAGGAGGATTATAGGTTAAAAAATAGCTTGGGCAATTTACCAGGACCCTGTCTCAAAATTAAAAAGAACTAGTGATATAGTTCACTAGTAGAGCACCCTGGGGTCAATCACCATTACTAAAAGGGGAAAAAATGTAGATATTTAAAAGSATTTAAAAAATGATGAACCATTCTTATATTTTAGGAATAAACTTGTTTGATGTATTTAGTTTTCAGGAATTTTGATTGCTAATACTTTATTTAAACTTTCTGTATTTATGTTTATAATGGGAATTTGCCCATCAAATCTTTTTCTACTTTGGGGTATCAAGATTATGCTGTTTTTGTAAACTAGATTGGGAAGCTTTCCACTATTTTATATTTATTATTTATTTTTAGCTCAAGATAGTTTATTTAATAGGCATTCCCTATACTTTTTTTTTTTTTTTTTGGAGAGGGGGTGGTACTGGGGATTGAACCCAGTGATGCTTTATTATTGAGCCATGTTCCCACCCTTTTTTATTTTTTATTTTGAGACAGGGTCTCGATAAGTTGCTTAGGGCCTCATTGAGTTGCTGAGACTGGTTTTGAATTTTCGATTCTCCTCCATCAGCCTCCTGAGCTGCTGGGATTACAGGCATGCATGCACCACCATGCCTAGCTCACTACTTATTCCTAGGTATTTGTTTTAGTCAACTTTTTCAATGCTGTGACCAAAATATCTGACAAGAACAAATTTAGAGGAGGAAAGTGTATTTTTGCACTGATTATTTCAGAGGTCTCAGTCCATAGATGTCTGACTCCATTCCTCAGAGACCAGGTAAGTCTGAATAGGAAG